ATATTAGAATTAATTGTATTTCATTCAGTATCAATGGAGTATTTATAATTCTAGACAACATCTTGATTTTTTCAAATAAAATAACTATTGTCAATGTCAAAATATTATATATTTCAATTGTTTTTTTAAATATTTCGTAAATGAAAGCAGCTACTTAGGTCTGACCAAAAGTTCCGAGATCTTTAAATAAAAATATAAAGATAAGGAAATATTTTTAATTTTATTTTATCAAACGTTGAGGGATAGTTGCCATGATTATTTATATCATGTTCAATTCTTTCTAACAATTTATTAAAAACTTTTTTGAACTGTTTTTCAAAAAAAAAATTTAGCTATTTTGGATACCGCATGAGTACATAATATTTCGTTTATTTAATTAATTAAACTTCCTTTGATGGAGATACTTAATCAAAGATTAGGTAATATTAGGTACGATGAATATGACTGCTACGGCATTATATTGATGCCCTGTTCTGTTAAATAATTAATAATATCGGATGAGTATGAAGTTAACTGTGATCCTCAAGCAGTTTTGTACATTTTGCACTGTATACCTCTTTTTGTTTTCATATTACATTTACAAAAGGCTTCAGACAATTTTCAATATAATATTTGTAACCTACTGTTATGCTTTTATCTACACTCAGGGCTATTTAATTTAAAGTATATATCAAACAAAGGTTGTGTTCAAATTTATCTCCATGAACAATAGTCTTTGACGTTTGATCCTCAATAAGCCAGCTAGAATCAGATGACTTATGATTAACCTATATAAAATAAATCTATACTTCGTCGCTAATACTACTAGAACGCAAGTGACAACATCTGACAAAACTTCGCAAAAATTTTAAAACAAATGAAACATGATTAGCTCATGAGGTATCCAAGGTAGTCAAAATTTTTTTCGAAAAACAGTTCAAAAAAACTTTTAAAAAATTGTTATCCTCGAGGGGTAAACAGCAGACTTCAAGACTTCAAAAGACTTCAAAAGGCTTCAAGTGACTTCAGCAACAGGGACTTCAAATTTTTAAAAGACTTC